TCTTCACTAATATTATAAAGACGTAAAATTTGTAAGTTTGTATGTAGGTATGGTATGGTAATCTTTGGAACCGCTGGTCGGATTGCCAAAATTCTTTCACTGACGGATAGCTGCAATGTTCCTGAGTGCTTAGGCTATAAAACATCAAGTTACGATCAAATGGGATCAGCTGAGCAGCGGGTGAAACCGCGCGAGTGTAGCTAGTTCCTAATAAACCACGAGTAGTCAGCAACGCTCTTGTAGGAATTCCTTTGGTATTGACGGTGTAGGTAGTCTGTTACATAGTAAAAAATAATATTTCCAAAAATATTTCTTCTCGGTATATGAAAACATCGTGAGGCCCTTAAAGTATAATTTTCATCTCGTCTTAGATGCTCAGGTTAAACAATGCTAATTACAGTAACTTGAGTTTGTGGAACACAAGTAAATAATTGTTATAATTAGACCATTACAATTTATTTCCTATATAAATGTATTTAGTAAAATTTAATTAAAAACTAATAATAGCCATCCGTTGCTATGTGAGAGTGTATTGTGTGCATTATTGTATCAAAGTGTATTTAAAAGCAATCATCGATGTTTGTACCTGAGAGTACCACGGTGACCCCAAAATTTATTAGTTGAACTAGTTCTTTCGATTAAAATTACAACATATTATATAAATTTGCTAGCTGTGCCTTACCTGCTCCCGGCGTTGCTTTGATACATAATTGATTAGCATTTAATAAAAAATGTTTAATCAAAGAAAATCGTAGTACGAGAATCCGTAGAAAAAAAAACGCAATTATCCATAAACGGTGAAAAAGAAATCTGAGTCATTTAACAAACCATAGATGCTCAGGGCTAGGTACTTAATGTTCCCATAGTGATCCCATGTTGGTCACTATCCTATGAAGTGGGCAGAGCGACCAGTATAACCCGTTTCCCGCCGCCCACTCTCGCTTAACTATAACCTGCGTGTACGCACGACTCAGGTGATACGGAATTTTATCGATGATAGCTATCGCAGTATTTTATTATTAAGGGCTCTTTCTAAGGGTTCTTTCTAGAAACATCTTTAGTTCTCGGTTCAAATAAATCAATAATACTAGATTTATTAATGACTCTACTCTAATTCATACTTTCGCGCGATTTCTACCGCTGCCCCGCTCCATTTGATCGTACCATGATGTTTTATAGCCTATAGCACTTAGGAACATTGTAGCTATCCATCAGTGCAAGAATTTTGGAAGTCTGACGAGCGGTTCCAGAGATTACCCCCTGCACAAAAACTTACAAATTTTACCTCTTTGCAATATTAGTATAGATTTTTGTGACGCTTGTTTTAAACGTAGCTACCTATTGTTAACATTTCTCTGCATCACCCTTGCGGCTGACTGATAGAGAATGCCTTTGAGCATTTAGTCCGCGCTGTTTTTTTTTTTTTTTTGATTGCCTTGTCCTTCGTACATTATCTAGAGTAAACCTCTGTGGCAAGTTTTATTCGAATCGATTCAGTAGCGTTTACGTCAAAGAGTATCTAACAAACATCTTCACATACATACTAAGAACTTTCGTAGTTATCTATCTAAACCAATATTATACATGCGAAAGTAACTCTGTCTGTCTGTCTGTACTTTCTTCACGCCTAAACAACTGAACCGATTTCTGTGAAATTTGGTACAAACATAGTTTGAAACTCGATGAAGGACATAAGATAGTTTTTATACCAAAAATCTTCAGGAAGTCACTATTTCACTTGAACGGAGTCGCGGGCAAAAGCTAGTCATTTTATAAAAGGGTAGGTATTAAGATATTTCAAGTATTAATACAATTATCAGCAATGATAACTAATTTGCTTCTGATATAAGTATTGAAAAAAGCACTCAATACGCATCCTTATTGTTTTTAACACAAAGTCATTAATAAAAACCTACTTCCATTATTTAATCCTGACTTCAACTAAACCTGATTATGAAACTAATTGAACAAGATTAACCTATTAATTTAATTGTAACGAAGAAGCATCTTCACTGACAGACTGAATTTTTTTTAATCTTCGTTTAGCGTTCAAAGCGTCTGTCCTAGTCTTTGACTTTGACATAAGAATGAAAGTGTAAGTATCTTTTCTTTTGTGTGGTCGGTAAAGAGCAGACGGATTACCTGATGGTAAGCAAGCAGCGCCGCCCTTGGAGACTCGTAATACCAAAGGAGTTACTACAAGTGCATTGTCGGCCTCTTGACTTGTGGGGTATACGAGATTTGAGGATTCAGGATGAAGAGGGATGAAGATTGGGTACTCTCACTCACACAGCGAACTACAAGGTTGTAGTTGTTGCACGCCAGTTTTCAGTGAAGCCTTGGTATCACGCCGGTTGAGCCGGCCCATTCGTGCCAAAGCATGGATCTCCCACACTAAAATGTATCTGTCTTTTAACAAATATACAATCATATACCAAAAGCATCTAAAGATATTAGCCTCATCCCCAAGAGTAGAATGATTAAGAAGCAAGCTAATAGAACGAAGCACATTTAAAACTGTTTTAAAACCCAACGATGTAAATACATACATATATGTATCTTGTCTATTACCACATAACAGTATAATTTTAACTGTAACAATGTATGTGAACAAGATCACAATAGCATTGTGCTTTCGCGAGAGATAAGAAAAAAATCTTGCATTGTTCATACTTGACGATTTCACACAAACTATTTACTACATTCACAAAAAAACATTTTTTTTAATTCCTAGAAGTTCAATCTGATCATACATTTCTTTGGAGTAATTCGTCTGGCTGCAAGAACAAACGAAACATCTGATGGTAAGCAATCAGTGCCCCCCGTGGACACCAGAAACATCAGAAAGTTGAGTCACCGCGGCCTCGGCCCAGAGCAGGAGAAGAACAGCAGGGTTTTTAGTCAGTAAGAGTCTGACACGCTCTTAAGCCTAACCCTGGGCGGGAGAAGTCATTTGATGGTTTTCCCCTGACAAACAAAAAAGGTGCGTTGGTGGAATGAGGTTTTAGGATTGAGAGATCTAGTAATCTAGGGTTAGGAGGCAGTTTTGAAGCAGGAGGGCTTGTTGAGCATCCGGTAACCTTGCTTACACGATGAAACAATGCTGTGGTCGTTCTATTGAGAGATTTCTATCTGCAAAAGGGAGATTTCCAGGAGCCTTTGCCATAAGCACTTTCCTTAAAGCAATTTTATTACACATTCATGTACATACATGGTAGATAGTGCCCTTATCTAAAGAAGGCACATAAAATATTATGTCAGACCACCTCAATCTGGATGTTATTGTTTGAGATAAGATCAGTAATCTAAGCAGAGAGGTGCCTGGGTGACTTGAATTGACGATACGATAATTTATACCTTTGTTCTTATAAAATTTTAAGTCGGCCTTATTACAAAATAAAGTTTTCCTTTAAGTAGTCTACGTCTAAAACAATGAACCAGTTTTTGTATTTCGAATTGAAGGTTGATAAGGATAGGATTCAAAGTTCAAAACCCGACTCAAAGGTTTAAACCTAAAGATATATCTTGTTTTGTAACAAAGGGGGTTAGTGGTTTAGATAAATATACTTACTAAAAATATTAATAAGATAATAACTTCTCAGCTTTGCTCACGACACAGCCATGACATCAACCAAGGGACATCCTTTGCCAATTTTCCTTTGCTTTCCAATGACTTTCAGATCCAGATTACCTGGTTGGATACTTAACAGTACTTACATACAATTTGTGGGGGTTTTTTTTCGATAGACAAAATTCGTCCAAGGGACATTCCCTCTACCTCACACTGGTCTCTTAATGACTAAAAACTACCCCGTTCCCTCTCCTGCTTCAAGTCGAGGCCGTGGTAACTTATTCTAGTTGCCCTACAACAGCTGAACATTGAGCCTGTTGGGCCCATCCAAGCAAAAGAAAACACATTGCTACTTAGTAGAACTATAAAAGTCCAAAAATAAAGAGCCAAATCAATATTGTGCCAAAAGGGCATTAGTCCGTTAGTTATGAAGTCGAATGACGTCCCTAAATATATACATACCTAAGGCTAATTTTTATCCGATGAATCTGCAACATCAATCACAGCCATAAACATATTTTAATATCCACTCAAAAAAAAAACTTTACACGTTTGGACATAAGCCACATAATCATTTCGAAATCGAATGGTCAATGACTGCATTACCTATTATAAAATAATAATGTTCTAAACATTATTTTACGATTCAGGTAACACAATACAATACATCAATTTTACTTCATCGGCTATAGGCTAGCTATACAATAGTGTTATAAATTGCATTGTCATTTAGACGCATTGTCGCCGATCGTTTTAATAGTGGCAGGACGCGTTGACCCCTAACCATGACCCTTTAATGTTCATTTATGACCGTTGTGCTACTATTACAGCTCCTAGACTAGCCTCGTCATTCAAACTTCGCTCTAAGTGATCACAACACGGGGTCATATTCCATCTTAGAAGTTGTAAATCCATCATTGTTAATTTTGGAACGATGTGGGTTCATTTTGAGAGAACTTTGTACTTAACAAAGTTATAAAAGTGTTGTTTTTTTATTTTATGCCAATAAATTATAGTAAAAAACTATAATTTTATTTTTATTATTGCCAACTATGTAAGTCAGATTTTATGCAGATAAGGTAATTAAAATAAATTTTTATTCGTTTAAAATGGCACGATGATCTTTTAAATTATTCTCTTTAAAACAACAAATAAGATTTTTTCCTTGGAAACACATTAAAAATAATATAAAAAATCAGAATAAAAAACTAAAATAAAAAAAAAATTAACAATTTAAATGCCGCTAAAGTCACTTTAATCCAATATGGCGGAATTGAGAGCTTTATCAATAAAACTTTAATGTTACCATTTTCGACTTGACCTTGGACGATGACGATTAATTCCCCAATCGAGAGTCAGTAGGTTGCGTCGTCTAACCGGCCTTGTCGTCATGACGTAACCAACCTGTATGCCTCCAAGTCTTTGAGCCGGCGTTCGAGCGAGACAACGCGCGCCAGCGCATCTCGAAAATCGAATTTCTTTAAAACACGCTAAATAAATCGATAATAAATTTAATCGATATTATTAGTGTTAGCTGCTTGTGATTCTTTGTAGTATTTATTCGCTGTGTTCGAATAGTGGTGTGATGTGGTGATCCCAATAATATAATATTGACGAAAGAAAGAAAAATACAAATTGGATTTTGTGAGAAATAGGCAAGCTCGCGTGGGAAGAAGTAAGTTCATGACCTTTTTGTTTTGTTTTGTTTGTGTAGAATTGTAAAGAATTTTTGCTTGTGTCAGTATTTTAAGTTATGACATAATATGATATTTACTTGTTATTGGTGGATTGATTGCAAATGTTTGCTATTAGTAGAATTGTAAAATTTTACGAGTAGTTTATATTATTAGAGAAAGGTAATACTAAAATTGTTTTTAAGCGGAATTAGCTAATACAGGCATTATTTATGTAAACGCGTGTGTTGTAAAACTCAACTTTGGTTTTACAAATAAAAACTCTAGGTATTTGTATTTCTACAATTTAAAAAAAAAATAGTCTTGTCTATTACAAATAATAAAAAAAAAACATTTAAAAACCTACCGTTTTATTCTAGAACAACGAAAAAAGAAAAATAAGATTTAAAGATATTCTTAAAAAAGTAGCATAGATACATTCAAATAAAAACCATAGATACCAGGGATGGCTGGAAAGTTATCTACCTAACATAGAAAGAAAAGACATAGGAAGCTCATTTTTTTTTATTTTTCAATATAGTCCCCTGCTTCCGTAATGCACTTATTACATTTGTCAATAAGCAACATTAAACCGTCAAAAAAATATTTCTTGGATTGGTCGTCAAAATGGTCATCCACAGCGGCCTTCATTTCTTCATAGGTCGAAAATCGCCGCCCCCTCTTAGGCTTTTCTTCAAATTTCTAAATAGAAAATAGTCACAGGGGCCAAATCTGGACTATAGGGTGGATGGTTTAGTTCCGTGAAGCCATTCTTGCTTAAGACTGACCTTGCATGTAAAGCTGTGTGGACCGGAGCATTTTCGTGCAAAATTAAAACTCCTTTGCCGAGTTTGCCTGTTCGTTTTTCTTTAATGGCTTCTCGCAGTTGGTCAAGTAAGCTGGCGTAGTAAGCTGCGTTCATCGTAGTATTTTTTGGTAGGTTATCTATCAAAAGAATCCCCTCGACATCCCAAAAAATTGTTGCCATAAGCTTGCTTGCTGATGGCCGAACCTTAAACTTGCGCGGTGGCTTCTCCCCTTTAAATTTCCACCGTATAGACTCCTGTTTGCTTTCGGTGTCCCATTGGCGAATCCAGGTTTCGTCGCAGGTTACTATTCTAGAGATATTTTTTTCTTCACTGTCTTTTACTAGGTCCATAAATGCCTCACAACATTCGACGCGTCGTTGTTTATCAAAGGGCGTCAGCATTCTCGGTACCCATCGTGCGCTTACCTTTATCATCCCTAAATGTTCGTGAATAATAACGTGAACACGTTCTTTACTAATCCTGACATCCCTAGCGATTTCCCACTGCTTGACTCTCCGATCTGCGAGTAATATTTTTTTCACTCGAGCCACCGTGTCTACTGTGACTGCAGAAACCGGCCGTCCGCTACGGGGATCGTCTTCCAGACTCACACGGCCATGTTTAGATTATTTAGACCAAAACTTAATAACAAAATCGGAAGGAAATGAGTCGCTAAACATATTGGACATTCGTTGTTTTATTTGCGAAAGAGTATTTCCTTCTTTAGTTAGGACTGTAATCACGGCACGCTGCTCAATTTTAAGCATTTTATTATTTTCATCCGATATGTTTACTATGTTAGTGGACTATTCGTAATGAAAACAATTAAAACAAATGAATGCTATTATTTTCAAATAAGGAATACATAAGTATTAAAGCTTCATAGTGGCCAGTATCATTTTTGTAACTTTATTGAACAAAGTAGATTATATATCAGACATATATTCGTGGAAGTGGTTAGTCTTGTTTGGTGTTACCTACTTGTTTAATTTATGGCCACATCTAGTATTGGATTAATTAAAGATGGAACCAGTTCGTTGGCCTCTTGTTTTGGTTGTCGACAACCAAACTAAGTAATCAAATGATAATTTTATGTGTGATCGCTCAGCATAATGGCGCCGTTCGTTTTTTATACATATTTTCTTGTAGAATACAATATTAAAGTCTAAGCCGTAATATATTTTTAATGTTATACATGTATAGACTACTTTCTTTTTGATTGATCCTGTAACTAAAATAAGATAATTTAATCAATTCAGATTTGTTATGTGATGTTTAAATAATATTATCAATACTTAAGTTTTTATTAGGTACTCATAACGTTGTTTATTACAAAACCAGCTCAAAGCACAGATCAACGTTAAGACTGCCTGATTGGTGCAGTGGCTAGGCAACTGCAGCTCACATGCCACAAGTTCGATGCCAGCGTCAAAGACATCTCAAACCCTTTATTTCAATAAGACCATTCTAGCGAATATTTTAATGTCCGCGTCTGTAAAATGTTTAAAGATAAAAACTGACAGTCTGTCGGTCACTTCTCAAGTACCTACAGGTATTTGGTCATAAGAGCTGTAGATTCAGATTAAGAATGATTATGAAACTGCATGTGTGCACACATGTTACATACTCTTTTTTGTCAGATTCTGTTATATTATAAAGTTAGTTCAATCATGTAAGAACAGTGTTACACTAATATTTAGCAACGAAAACAGAAAAGAAAATAACTTAACGGATAATATATTTATTTACCGTTCTGAACGATTCTTTGTGTGATCACAAACAGTTTTTTTCTGTCCGATTTTCATGTGTGTGGTGTATATGTGTACGTTTGTAAACGTACCTACGACACAGGAGATAATCCTAATAGTGAACGAAGTTTTTCATCTATAATTTCAAAAAAACTGCCATAGTGAGACCTACTAATAAAAATGGGTTAAATAAAACGCACATTATCGTCACCAGTTCCATATTAATAGAATCTAAGATATTCTATTTTAAAAAACATATAAATATTATTTTGGTCGATTAGGTAATCTTGGACGATGATATCATTTTTATATCGTTCAATACTAATTCTTTAGACAATAACCTTTTAGTTCAAAATTCGTTGTATTGTTTCTAAATGACTAAGTGCAAACATCGTTGCTTTGAATAGTTGGAGGACTTGACATTATGACTTAGGTCATTCATTATCATCAGTGACATGACATTTACTGCTGTGCATAGTCTTCTCAGCTCACCTCTAGATAGATCAGTTGGTGGGCGTCCTGTATCCATCCCGCTGTATAGACCCCAGCTCAGAACAGATAAAGGAATCTGATGGTTTTTAGCAAAAGTCTGACACCGCCTCTGGCCTGACCAAGGGCAAGAGACGTCATAAGACGGTATGCCCTCTTAAAAAAAAAAAAAGGTCACTCACTCATAATTAGGCATGTTATTCTTCTAAAGATCTGAAACTGAGCTATTATATATTATACCATTGTATGATTTTAATTAGAACACTTTTCTAACTTCCAATAGAATCCTATAAAGATATGGGTAGTTGACTTAGAAAAAAAAATTAAACTTATTATCCTATGTATGCTCGTTTGCCTCCTATTTCACAAAAAAAAATCACACCATATGTTTAGATAGTTCTAGAGAAAAATGTGTCTGTTTGATTTAAAAATGATTACGTAATAACATCGCAACGTGCTACTTCATACAACATTCATAGAAAATTTATATGTTTGACATTTCGGAAAAAGTATCGCATTTTATTAATTGGAATCTTAACCTTATTGCATGGCATGGGGCAGTCGCAATAGTGTTCACTCAACCAATGTCGTTACAGTAACTTTTCCTGTCAAAGGTAAATACCCAACTTCGGAGGCTAAGATGAATATAATTGCTACAAAAACAGTACATGTTAAAGTACATTAGAACATCATGTTGTGATCATAAAAACTAAAAATATTAACCTTCGAACTACATATTGTGTTTCATGTATTATGTGTTCCATTTAAATATGAATGTATTTAGCTGGTCTATTATAGTGAGATAGACCACTAGGTTGCCTTTTTAATTACTACCTAGTCTCGCGCGGTTTTACCCGCTGCTCGGCTCCATTTGATCGTAGCGTGATGTTTTATAGCCTATAGCACTCAGGAATATTGTAGCTATCTATCAGTGAAAGAATTTCGGCAATCCGACTAATGGTTCCAAAGGTTACCCCCTACATACAAAATTACAAAATTTACCTCTTTATATTATTAGTATAGAAAATGACGAGGAAAGGAGCCCGCATTCATTATATTTGTAACCAAAACTTTTCTGGCCCAGGGCTGGGCGAGAGGTAGTGTCAGTCTCTTATTGACTAAAGACCACCCCATTCCTTATCCTACTCCAGGCTAAGGCCGAGGCACCTTATTACGCTTGCCCTGCAACCTCGGTTTTTCCCACAAACCAAGATATTTAATCACTAGATAAAGTAAATACATACAAAAGATATTTTAATTGTAAAATTCTATGCGTTCTCTAAGTAGGTCACATGTCACCATTTAACGTTTGGCAATACAGAAACTAGGTTTTAGTTATTTCGCACTATTTTCTATACAACATCCTAACGTTCCTCATTTGGCTCATAATAAGCTAAAGAAGACTTTATTGCTTTGTCATTAAGTCATTTTGAATGCTAAACAGCCTGATTTCAGCACGACAGTACGGAATATTTAGAAACATGACTAAGTTACACCTACGTGACTTTTTTAATTTTGAAAAAAAAAGGATTGTAATCACACGTTAGCCAACGAATACAAGTGAGAGGAACTGGGACGCCGTCTCCTCCTTTTGTGAAGCAGTCATGCTCGCAAAGAGAGAGGCGGCCCGCGTGAGGGAGCAATCCTCCTCCTCACGCCCCAGCCGCCGCAACTGGCGACAATACGGGTGTCGGGGATCAAGGGACGATCTCCAGCCACCGTAAGCACGGGTCTGCGGTCGGTGAGTAAGGGCAGCTCGCCGCCCGACCAGAACCAGGCCCGAGCGTACGCCTCAAAGAGCCAATAGACCACCACAGACGGGGCCCTAAAGGGCTGATGTTCAGCCGGGGTTGCGGGATAAGCGCAATGAGGCACCGCGACCTCGGCCTAGAGCAGGAGAAGGAACAGGGGGGTTTTTAGTAAGTAAGAGTCTTTCTTTTTTTTTAAGTTGTCAGG